CCATAAGGGCGCGTCGCATCGACGACGGGGATATGCAAGTTGCATTTGCCCAGTCAAATCTGGCAGGACGTGCCAAGACTTGGGCACTGGGGCTCAAGCTGCACGACCCATACGCGTTTGGGTCGTTGGAAGTCTTCAAGTCGCGGCTCAGACAAACGTTTGAACCGCCTAGAGCTGAGTTCAGAGCTCGAACCGAACTCTTGAAGCTCAAGCAGGGTAAGCGTGATGTGCACGCTTACGCTCAACATATACGACATCTCACGAGTTGTATAAGTTCCAATCCGGTGGATGAACACACGTTGGTTTCGGTGTTCATGCAGGGTCTTGCGGATGGTCCCGTCAAGACTCACCTGTTCCGGCTTGAACTAGATTCACTAGAACAAGCCATTTCAATTGCGGAGCAGGAAGACTTCAGTCTGAGACAGGCTCGCGCCAGCTCGACATCATATCGTCAACCGAGACGATATGACAACGGAGGTCCAGAGCCGATGGAACTCTGTTATGTAGAGAGCGAGAAGGCTCGCTCTACAGGCTACAAGAAGTTGCAGAGATGCAACAGATGTCAAAAGACAGGACACTACGCTTACGAGTGTAGTGCCCCTCGTCCAGTGTCTCGCGACACTGGGCGTAGTGACCGTCCACCCATGAGAAAGGGGCAGGGACGAGGGTCCGCAGTTGGTGCAAAGACGCAACAACGGGATGGACCGTCAAAAACGGACAGGATCAGTAGGTGCGGAGCACCCTACTGATCCAGCAACGTCAAGAGAATTTGTAGGCCTCTTGATGAAGGTTGCTCCCAACACACAGACATTGTGCGTTGCTGCTCTAGGTAATGAGATCTCACTCATTACCTTGAAACTCGAAGTGACGAATAAGTTGTCCCTTCGAGCTCTAGTCGATTGTGGGGCGTCCAACAATTTTGTGCGACGCCAATCGCTAGAAGATGGTCACTTTAAATTCAGTGAATGTGACACACCTCCTACGAGGATGACGGTACGTCTTGCGACAGGCGCATCCGTAACCGTCATGAAGCGTATAGTGAAGATTCACTATACGCTAGAAGATACCCAAACGACGATGACTTTATCGTATTGGATTTGGATGACAAATTTGATGTCATCCTTGGAATACCGTGGCTCAGAAGGTACGAACCACGGGTAAACTGGCAACATCGGACAGTAACGATGCCTGCCGCTTGTTCATCAGATGGCCATCTGATGAACGTTTTGGAGCGTCCACAAGCGTGTGGATGTACTACGAGTGAGTGCGATGGCCTCACTTGTGGTACGGTCGTTAGTACGACTGCACAAAACCTTAGTGTACCAAACGGTTACACTTCGGAGCAAAGTTCCGGCGGCTGTGAGGAAACACAGGCTGCGCCGAAGGTCCACCACTCGAATAAGTCGGGTGGACTGGGACAAAGATGTATTCCTAGAGGGGAACATCTAGAAGAGAAACAATCGATCGCTCAGGTTAAGCGAAACGATAATCCTAGATCGACTGGAGAGTCTTTCGTAGAGGATCTCGCTGTGGTTGCGCAACCCCAGCTAGAGGAAGTAAAGGGAATAAGTCCCAAGATTACAAATACGGCGGAAATAAGTTCCCCGAAACCCGCGGGAATAAGTCCCCGGGAAGACGAAGGAATAAGTCCTTCGAAGCCTGAGGGAATAAGTCCCCAGTAAATGACAGAGACATTGAATGTCATAGTCAATAACGGATCATGTGTAGGCGCTTATACACTTGATCTGATTGCGCCTCCGAAGTTAACTTCGGAGATCACTCAGTTGCCAACGCTCGAACATAAAAGATTCTTGCGTGATCTGCGTAGTGGCAAAGTCAAGCAGATCTGCATACTCGTCGCTGAAGACGAGTATGTAACCGACATAAGGTCAGCAACAGTGTTTACTGAGAACGAGAGAGTTCTCAGTAGTTCATCGATGGACGAGAGTGTCCTAGATGAAAAGACACGAATTGAGCGATATGAGTCCCAATCATGGGAACCGCTCAAGGAAAATCCTCTCTATGAAGATTTGGTTGAATTCAAGGATGTATTCCCTGAAACTGTTCCGTGCGAATTACCGAAGGATAAAGGTATTCGACACGAAGTCGAGCTTAAACCAGGCTCGAAGTACTGTGTCATGAAGCAGTGGCCACTGCCTCGTGAACGAGTACTTGCGATCGACAAGTTCTTTGCCGATCGTTTAGCTGCGGGCCATGTGAGGGAATCAACTTCCCCACATAGCTCTCCGACCTTCTGTGTGCGAAAAGCAACAGGAGGGTGGCGGATAGTGCATGCATTTAACAAGTTGAATGCTGCAACGGTACCGGCTCAGACGCCGATACCGAGGAAGGACGTAATCATTGATGGTATGTCAAAGAGTACCATCTTTTCGTCCATGGATTTGATGGATGGCTTCTATCAAATCCTAATGCGGGAACGGGATATACCCTATACCGCAGTTAGCACGCCTAGCGGCATGCTCTGGGAATGGCTAGTAATGCCACAAGGGCTCAGTAATGCCCCTGCCACGTTCAACAGATGTGTATCACATCTGTTGAGACCAGTACGAGAGTTCGCGCCGAGTTATTTCGATGACGTATTCATCCATAGTCGAGCTATGGATGGAAAGTCGGACGTTGAGGTTCACAGGTACCACGTCCGACAAGTTCTTACAATCATGCGAAAGCATCAATTGTATGCTAACCTCAAGAAGTGTATATTTGCAGCAAGCGAAATACCACTTCTTGGGTGCATCGTTGGTAAGAACGGTGTACGTCCTGATCCCGAAAAGATCAAGGCGATCACCGACTGGCCTGTGCCGGTCGATGTCAAAGGTCTTCGAAAATTCCTTAGCTAGCGGCGTATTTGCATAAGTATTCACGCAATTACGCCGAGATGACTGTACACCTCTCTCGTTTGTTGAAAAAGAACGAGAGGTGGTTATGGAACGCTGAATGTCAACGCTCCTTTGAGGGTATCAAGCAGAGCTTGATACAATCCCCAGTCCTAGCAATAGCCGATCAGGACAGGCCATTTCATGTGGTCTGTGATGCCAGCGATTTCGCAATCGGCTGTGCATTAATGCAGTACGACCTTGAAGGCGTTGAACGCGTCGTCTGCTATCAGTCGCGTCAGCTGCAACCAGCTGAGCGGAACTATCCAGTGCATGACAAGGAACTCCTTGCCATGAAGTATTCACTCGCGAAGTTCAGAGTCTATCTATTAGGAGATAGACCCTTCATTGTTTACACTGACCATGCGTCCTTACGCACGGCAGTGAACAGCCCGCACCTTTCACAACGAATGGCGCGGTGGTTGTCATTCTTTGCAGAATACAACTTCACGGTCGAGTACAAACCAGGACGACTTAATGTCGTCGCTGATGCACTCTCACGTCGTCCCGACTTTGAAACAGTCGCGAAACCCAACAGTGAGACAGTCACTGTTGCGGTTATGACGTCCTCAGTTCCATCTACAACGTTGTATGATGATGTGAGGCGGGCATACGCCCAAGATGGTGAGATAGTGAAGTTGTTGTCACATCTCTCATAGCCATCTCGAGAATCGTTGAAACGATTGTCGTCTGCGTATCGATCTGCATCAGATCGATACACTACTCGTAACGGTTTACTGTACTATACAGCCGTTTCTGGTGACACACCACGTGTTGTCATTCCAGATGATATTGATCTGCGTTTGCGGATCATGTTCGAGTATCACGATGCTCCTATAGGAGGACATCGTGGCCGAGAGAAAACATATCTCACGGTAAGTCGAGACTTTTACTGGCCCCGCCAGTATCAGTTTGTGCGAAAGTATGTTCGCGCATGCGAAGTCTGCCAACGAGTGAAGTCAAGTCCTTCACTGCGTGCACCTTTACAGCCTCTACCGGTTCCGGCTGAGTGCTGGGAATCCATCTCAATGGATTTCGTCTTCGGGTTACCCAAAGACGCACGCGGGAATACGGGTATTCTCGTATTTGTTGACAGATTCAGCAAAATGGTACACCTTGTGGCTGTACCAGAGACAATCACGGCAAGTGGCTGTGCTTGTGTCTTTATTGACACCATCTTCCGACTTCATGTGTTGCCCCGTGAACTCGTATCAGACAGAGATCCACGATTCACTGCTGATTTCTGGCGTTCCGTGTTCAAATCACTCGGAACGCGCTTGAAGATGTCAACATCTGATCATCCAGAGTCAGATGGTCAGACGGAACGTGCCAATCGTGTCCTTGAAGAGATAATTCGAGGATACGTACACTCCTTTAAGAGTTGGAGTGAGTTTTTGCCGATGGTAGAGTTTGCCATCAACAACTCGGTGCATGCGTCCACGACACATACACCGTTTTACGTGAATGGCTTGCGCCATCCGCGTGTACCCACCTTACTAGAGTGTGACTCTGGTTTGAGGGGGGGAGAGACTTGCGCGAGCAAAAACCGATTTGTTTCACGCTCATCACGCTCTGACAAAAAGATCATTGCGTTTGATGCCGATATCGATAACATCGATATCGAAGAAGATGATGCCAGTGAGAGTGCGGAAGCCCTCACTGAAGAAGATGATCCCAGTGAGAGCGAGGAAGCCCTCACTGAAGACAATGATCCCAGTGAGAGTGCGGAAGCCCTCACTGAAGAAAAGGTTGTTGTTGCTGCAGTGCGCTCACAGCACACTGAAGCTAACGAGTCATCAGATGAGTTCATACTGGCTCGTGAAACGGTAGTCCGTTTTGTGCAAGACTCCATCGCCGAAGCGGTGGATAAGCAAAAGCAAAACGCTGACAAGAATGGAAGGGCAAACACTCTTTTATTTAATAAAGGTGACTTAGTCCTACTGTCTACGGTTAATCTACCAAAGCATGTAGTGAATAACTTGGGTAGCAGTAAACTACTACCCAAGTACATCGGCCCATTTCGTGTATTGCACCGCCTAGGCAATGCATACACGATCGAGTTACCACGTAAGATGCGAACGCATCCCACGTTTTACGTTGGTCGGCTTAAGCCGTACCATCAGTACGCTGCTTCTTCCGATGAAGAACTCCCTTGCGCTCAAGCATCTCGCAGAGAGCCTTGTGCTCCCGATGGTGGGCATCAACAAGGGTCTGAAGAGCAGTTATCTCAGCCCGAGACCGATCAACAATCCCACGAGCTACCCTTAGCTCGTCACGAAGAGATGTCAGAGATCTCTCGTTCTCAAGCTGAGCAAAGGCAAACTCAGCTCGATGCTTCGAGGCAGTGTCCACCATCTGGAGACGCCTATTCCGCTCATGCTCGAGATCGTCGCGTAACCCTTGCGTTACGCGATCAAAGAAGCTCTCGGGAACACACCGATCCACATGATCGTGTGGAGAGCGTCTTTCCTCCTCCTCCACCTCCATTAGAGGACTCTCGCGGTGGCCAGCGCTATCTAGTAGAGCAGCTGTTGAATTACCGCGACGTGAACGGACGTCGGACGAGTTACCTCGTCCGGTGGCGCGGCTATCCCCCGTCCTGGGATTCTTGGGACCCCCGCTCCCAATTGATGGTTGACGTACTGGGTCTGGTCGAGCAGTACGACGCGACACATCCTGTGCCGCAGAAGGACCGCCGGAGAAAGTCTTCCCGGCACGGTCGTAAAGGGATTTCAGGTTGTCAATCCCTTCGTACATCTCAGTAGAGACACGTACGCGCCACCACGGGCTGGTAAGGAGGTAAGCCTCCTTAGGTGCTCGTGCAGAGTTGTTCACACAACATGGGCACGAGTCTCCCCAAGAGAGGCAGGGTAATCCTTTCTCCCTTGACAGACGATGCAGCTTGTAGCGTGCACCTGTCGGGGTTCGCTTTTCAAACTTATCACGAGCTTTGATAAGTTTGTCGTTCCAAGCGTCACGACCTACATCCTCGAGATTATGGATGTAGGCGTTCCACGCCTGAAGTAGTGAGGGACCATCACGTTTGTGATTCCCACTGTACCATCGATGTCTGAAGAAAGCATCGATGAAGAACTTCATGTTCAGCGCGATAGTCTTTCGCGCTGGGGTCAAGGTGATGGATCTCTGACGAATCGAACAATCGTGTTCGATAACGATCACTCGTCGTCGCCGACAAGTGATCCAGGACGGATTTGGGAGGCATCCATGCCTTCTTTTCTGGAGCGAGACGCAACACATTGCGGTCCCGCTCTTCCTGCGACGTGCCGACAGAAGTACTGGCACCTCGCTGTGAAGTGGTGTCCATAGGAGAACCGACACCACTATTAGCGCCCGAGTCTCGCGACCTCGAGCGCCTTCGCTTCGGCGATGGTTCATCTGACTCATCAGATGAACCAAAGATGCTGCGACGCAAAGCATCGTCCATGCCACGCTTGGCAGGCGGCTTGGATTCAATTGCCGTCGATACGGATCCGTCATCCGTATCAGGAGAGTACGAGACACCGAGCTCGTACTCTGTGAAGACACGAGTGTCTTCATGACCAGCGCCTGCATCACCAGGTGATACAGGCTGAGTCGATTCAGCAACCGATGGGACATCAGTTGCTGTAGTTTCTGCTTCGGCGTCCGCACAGAGACGTGCAGACGCGCTCTCGGCGGCCTTGCTCGCGCATCGCATGGGCTTGTTTACCATGCGATGAGATGTTGGAAAGTGGACGCGGACCAACAAGTGCAAACCCCGTCCCAAATGATTTGGGACGAGTATCCATTTAGTCAATCAGTCACTAAAGTGACTGATGGTTAAGGGGGGGTGATGTAACGGGGTGAATCGTTACATAACAATTTATAAGAAATTGTAAATAGAATATAACTATAAGAGTTATATTCTCAGAATATTGTCATAAGGACAATATTCTGTAGCACTTCCAAGTAGTTCCTAATTGGTTGATATAGGCCATTATATCAACCAACGAAGACGCGCCACGACAGACGCACGCAATGAGTGGTGAGCAGATAACTGATTTACACATTTGTATTTAGACATAGTTAGATGAAGATAAATAGTGATTTATTGCAGACATTAACTATTATAAATACAGTTCTACTTTTACTCTAACCGAGTACTCGCTTCTTCTTACCGTCTTCCTCTGCACGTACGAGTGTACGTGAAGTTACGAGGCACCGCCTTATTCTGTTATCAGAATAAGTAGCTTGTACTGTCACCAGTACAAGCTTCAGGGTGCCCCGTTACACTAATGTTCTCACGAATACCATTTAAAGATATCGTAATTCGGTGGCAGACACCCGTCAACCCCTAACAACTGGTATGGTGTCCCAACATCATCTTTAGTGGGACTCCGTCCCTGGCATAACCCACACATAATATTCTAACCACACTTGTGCGTTTGTCACACATTTTGTGTCACCCCGTTTCATTATGTGTTCATTGATCTCGTCTTGCAGCGTCCCGCGGGAATCTTGCCTTACGCGGGATGGGGCGCGGGATTACTTATTTTCCCATCCAGTGCGGGACGGAGTCCTACAAGATAGTGCGCAAACAAGGCGCGTGCTTCAGTTTAGCGAAGGTCAACTTTTTGATCGCTTTGGGCGTGAGTCTACACAAAAGCAACGCATGTACGTCGACCGATGGTGACTGGGAAAAGCGAGTGTTTATAACGGCTCTCATCTCTCCTTAGCATCTTCTACGAATCGAAGTCCTCTGCAGCATACTCACTCTGTACAGACATCGCTTTCGACTCGAATGTCTGTCAGACCAAGTCGTTGCCATGACGCGTACGGATGCTTCTTTTTAGCGAGGCACGTATCAGCAGTCGCTTTATCATGGGGCCGCGACTATAGCGACAACACATGGTCGGAACTTTTTTTCGTTTCTGGATCTCCAGTGTTATTTCTCATGCGCCGATTTATGACCGCTGATGTCGTAAACATTGTGGAGGACCAATCAAGAAGAGCAGGGACGACGACATACCAATTTGTCGACCGACGCAATATCATGCGCTGGGTGAGCACCCAGTGGATGAAATTGGCCAGGGCAAGTCTCTATGTGACGTGACATACGAGAAGCGAGCAAAGGGGGGGAGACTGTCATAAACAATCTCGTTTTGCAAGCTCCTTTACATCAGCACCGTCCTTTTGACTCGTGCATACATCGAAAAAAGCTAAGGGGACCAGCCACCGACGACCAGCTTCAAGGACACTTGCAACTACCCGACGTTTAAGGACAAGGTTGGCCCGGCAAAAGCAATGGTCATTGAAGAAGGATAGAGAGAGAGAGGTAGCAAGTTAATTGAAATTCGACAAGTAGGTGGATTTTGAGGCATTTGTGGCCTCGACGGAAGGACGTGGTTTAGTGAGGTCGGTCATCGTTCGCTTAATGCAGTTGACTCGTATACGTCATCAGACAGGCGTCCTTGCACAAAAGACGGGTTTATGTTCCAATTCGACAGCCGGAAAAAGCGCTAGGGAGTAGGTTTGTACGAGCGACTTTGCAAGGTTCGAATCTAGGGAGCCAGGTTTTGTACAACGAGAGCGATATATCAATTTCGCTTTAGCAAAGTCAAAATTGTTTCACCGTAAATAGGGAGATGAACGCTGGACCGTCGGGCTCAAGGAGCGCGTCACTCGCGTCTCGGTCTTCACTTAACGCGGAGGAGAGTCGCACCTGTAGCCAGCATGCTGAGCCACGCGCCTCCTTCTCCCCTACTCCACAAGCGACACATCAGTCCACGACAGGCTCGGCTCGTAGTGGGCGTGGAATATCTTCATCTACGACAGAAAAGCCAGCTTTGCAAGGGGTTTCGCACACTCAGGGAGGTCCTTTGAATATAAAAAGGGTATCTATTGTACGACCAGGAAGCGACAAAATGAACGTATGTACGGAGAGCGAGACGCACGAGAAGGAGGCGCAATTGAAGGCATTAAATGACCGAAGAAGGACAACACCGACAGCAGCTGCTTCAGGTACTACTTCTACTTCGACTACAGGACTATTGCGTACAGCAGGTCGGATGACCGCGGACAGTCCTGCTTCTGCCAATGCGTTTGAGCAACAGATAGAAGGAAAAAGGGTGGTACGAGGTGCTGCCAGCAGTGCTGCAGAAATTTAAGTCACACGACCGCGAGCAGATTAAGCGTACGCAGTTTGACGTGCTGCATCGATGGAATCATGGATTAATGCGAGACTGATGCCAGAGTGTGAGAAATGGTCTATGTATATGTGTGTATGTGTGTGTCTGTTTAGAGCTCATGTTACCGCGGTGTACATTGTGTGAATGCGGGAAAGTCAATCAAAAGGCAGTTATTGAATGCCAGCAGAAAGGCTGCTTTTTGTTGGACCGCCCGCTGTGTTTGGTATGCTGGAAATCGACCCATTTGTCTTGTGACAAAGCACAAAACAAACACTGTAGCCGGTCTACATCAAGTGCGTCTTGACGAATCGTAGCATTTCATGTGAAAACATTGACCGGGAATGTGTGTTTCGTTTGTGATGTTGTAGTGTGCCCGCAGTGCCAACTTGGTCGAATCGAGTATTGGTGTGCTGAGTGCGACTTGAAATTTTGTGGGAACTGTTTTGAGCAGATCCACAATGTGGATGCAACTAAAGATCATCGCAAAATAGCCACTGAAGGTACACTTGTCTATGATCAAGCTGTCGACACTATCTCGGGCTTACATGAGTTGTTGTGTTGTCGTTGCAGACGCACCTGGAACCTGCCTATCATCGTCCCATTGGTCTGCGTATTTCTATGAAGCGATTTGCCATTCGGTCACTTCGCGCAAACAGATGACAAATGGGAATACTGGCGATAGCAGTATTGGTGGGAAGCGGAAACGCGAGATTGAAGTAATTGTTATCGATAACGATGACGATGCCGAAGAAGATGAGCCGGTGATCATTTCACCTCCCGGCAACCAGAGCGCTCAACAACAGGCTGATACTTGCGGGTCGGCGGCAATCCGACCAAAAACCAGCAGCACAGGAACATGTGCTCTGTCACAGCAGAATGCTTCAGCCAACACGGATGACCAAGCCGCATCCGCTCATGCTACGATGCTAGAGCCGTTTCCGTTCTTTGAAGCGCCTATTCACACATCGTCATCACCTTATGCACTACCGGTGCATCCATCGTACAGCACGCCGTCTATCTCGAAAGGCGTCAACACTGTCACTCCTCATGCGAATGTAGGTTTGCAGTGGGGTAACAGTAATTTTCCGTTCGGAATGCCGCCACTGGTAGGAAATGGACACGGCAGCCCAGTCTACACGACCAATATTATGAGCCCTGGGGCAACGCTAAGCTCCGCACCTGCCAGTGTTGGCACACCGATGTGGCCAACAACGTCTGGTATCAGCACAGACTTGGCAAGCACATTGAGTCTGAATAATCTCCACGCGCGCCGGGGTGCCGTATCTGCGCAGAATGTGCTCGTTGACTCGTTGGTGGATCGTTATCACGAAGTGAACCAGAATGTGGCAAGCATGGAGCTACAAGGTGAGCAGTTAACCAGGCAGATAGCACTTGCAGCGCGCCAAGGACCATACACCGCAAGACCCATAATGGATTTGCTGAACAAGCTGCAGCCTGCACTAGAAGCTTCGAAGGGTTTGCGAGACAAGCTCCTTATCGCGATGATAGTCCAGTCTGACGACATCATGGCTTCTGTTCGTTCTCTCCGCCTCTCAGAACTCGGTGATGTTCCACAGGTCCCGTCGATTAGCCACCGTAAATGTCTGCAGTTGTCAATTGAGATTAACCGGCACAAGAAGAAACTCGTGGAGTCGAATCAACAAATCAGTGACATGCTTGCCAAGTCGTACACGGTGACTTCCAGCATGGAGAATTCGCTCATTCAATCCGCCAGCGCCGAGATTCAGGTGCATGAGAGGAACATCATGAGGCTAAAGAAAGCTCGCAATGTGGAGTTCGTGCGAATTGTTCAATTCAGTAACAACATCCGTGAAGCGCTAAAGCAAACGTTTCAGCAGACGGTTGAAGCCCAGCGTCATCAGCAGCAGAATTACAGCAATTCCAGCCGTTTTGATGGAAACTGAAGAACTGCAGAATAATAGGAGTGAGTCAATGTACGGCCGCTCGTTCGCAGACCTGGAAAGATGGTGCAGAAAGGGAGTGCGGGACGAGACAGGGATTATTTAATGCGGCGTTAAACGCAGAGCTGTGCAATTATGCCGGTAGACGAGGATTCAGTCAGGTCCAGGAAGATCTACAGCATTCTTCCGCAGCTCGTCAGTGAAGTAAGTAAGCGCCTCATACGCTTAATGAGCTAAGTGTTGCGGAAGTGGGCTGATCTATCGACCTTAGTGCGAGATGAAAAACTCACTTGATACGTCTGCTGAAACTGACGAGCCACGCGATCTCTTGAGTCACCCCAGTTCGTGTTTGATTGCGACCTGACGCCAGTCACGTGATTTTTGTTGCTCGTTTGAAAGCTGTTGGCACTTGAGGTTGCGCGCTTCTGAAAATACTATAGAACAGAGGTGCTTTGATACACCCTCTCGGCCTGCTGATCGCTTCTGGTGAAATTGTATGGGACACTTTTTCAGCACTGCCAGCACACGTGATATTGCCCCGCGACCATTTAGTTGAGCAAACAGTATGCAGCGTATTTTATTCCACCAAGATGTCAAGTGTCAACTAAGGATCTGTACACGCACTCGCACTCTACACGTACAAGCTGTGCGTCGGAATGATGTCATCTTTCTTCGAGTCCATGCAAGGCACAGAGAGCCACGCATAGTAGAACGCAGAACCAGCCAGCATATGCATCATGCCCTTGGCGACCCCCACCGCCGTGTCTTCGTCCTCAAAGTAGAACGCAGCGATCGCCGCAACTGCCGCTGCAGCAAGGCTGTATAGTCCGTACGCTGCGTTCTGCTTGTTCAGTGGAGAAATGTCATTGCTCACGGTAAACACTCGACGGTAGACAACTCCCAGCAGGTAGCAAGCCACGAGCATCCCTTCGTAGAACGTCGAGTCCCATCGGTCCTTGGTCTTGAAGAGCAGCGAGCCAGCAAATGCCACGTAGCGCAGAACGATGTTCCGGTTCTCATCCTTGTACCCCATCAGGTGTACGCAGAGCAGCAGAAAATACGCGATGGACACCACGTCCGATAGAAAGTGCCAATCGTCTTCCATGAGGAACAGCTGCGTGTCAAACGCCTCGGCAGCATTGAAGGAAAAGGAGATCAAGAGCTGTGAGACGCCCACAAACAGCTCAAAATGTCGACGATTGCGCTTCATTACGACCAGCGCCGGCAGCATCGCCACGTCCGTCAGCGCCAGGAACACGAAGCGCGCGATTCCCAGCAGCATTGTCGTCGACTGGCGACGGTCGAGCCTCGAACTCAAAAGTGCGAGTTGATGAGTTCGTTGACCGATCAGACTTCTGAGCTCCCGTCAGCTCCATGAGAGCCAAAAAATAAATAAATAGCCAATCAAAATAGCTTCCAGTTTCCAGAGGTCGATTCAAGCATATTAAATGCACGGAAGTAAAATTTATCACAAGTACAGAATGTAAAGCGATTAAAACTCTCTACGACTGATACAACACGTGATTTCCGAAAATAATGCAATATGCCACAAGATAAGGAGGAAAACAAAGTACACCGAAAGATGAAAAAATACCAACGAAAAATGTATTAGATAGGGGAGCAAGCTCTGGAGCTCGCCCCTTCGATATAAGTAATTCGGTTCGGATAACTGAATCAAGACGCATAACGTTATACAACAGCAGTCACTGAAGAATGAGTGTGATGCAGCTAAATGTGTAGATTAAACCCGGTAAGTAAACCTGGGCAACATGATTAGCCTTTGCTTATGAGCGTCCAGCATCTCTTTCTATGATCACATTCACCTTCAATCGATATAAAGCCAACCGCGTGCGTGCGTCGCAATAGTGGCCTAGCCAAAGAGTGACTTTAATACGCTTAAATATCTATGAGGGAGACGGACTAGATATCACATAGTGCGTGTAAGGTGCACCGAACCGCTTATATGCAGACACACAAATAAGTACTGTAACGGGGCACCCTGAAGCTTGTACTGGTGACAGTACAAGCTACTTATTTTGATAACAGAATAAGGCGATGCCTCGTAAATTCACGTACACTCGTACGTGCAATGGAAGACGGTAAGAAGAAGCGAGTACTTAGTTTAAGTAAAAAGTAGAACTGTATTTGTAACGGGGCACCCTGAAGCTTGTACTGGTGAAAGTACAAGCTACTTATTCTGATGACAGAATAAGGCGGTGCCTCGTAACTTCACGTACACTCGTACGTGCAGAGGAAGACGGTAAGAAGAAGCGAGTACTTGGTTAAAGTAAAAAGTAGAACTGTATTTAGCATAGTTAATGTCTGCAATAAATCACTATTTATCTTCATCTAACTATGTCTAAATACAAATGTGTAAATCAACTATCTGCTCACCACTCATTGCGTGCGTCTGTCGTGGAGCGTCTTCGTTGGTTGATATAATGGCCTATATCAACCAATTAGGAACTAGTCGTAAGTGCTACAGAATAATTGTCCTTATGACAATATTCTGAGAATATAACTCTTATAGTTATATTCTATTTACAATTTCTTATAAATTGTTATGTAACGATTCACCCCGTTACAAGTACGATTTGAAAGTTCGGCATTCAGCCTTGCGCACTCTCACTGTAAGCTTCAACCATCCGGCTCGCAATTACCAGATTAGAAAATGAGAATATATTTTATGGCGCGCACGATACGAATGGCATGACAGAAAAGGTACCGAGGGCTGCTGTACGCCAAGAGAATAGTTATATGCATATTGTTGAAGGACATTGAATTGAGCGGGGCTACTTAGCGCTCCTTAACAGAGGAAGTCTTACATTCAAAGTGTCTCTTTGTTCTAACAAACTAAAGACGAGGTACAGTCGTTCAAGCGTACAAGCTTAACAATCCCGGTTCTAAAAGGAATTACGATTCACAGAATCACACACTAACTAGTCACTACTAGTAAAAAAAGAGGAAGCGCCTTCACAAGGCTAACACTCTTACAACACACTATGGCTGGACCAGGCACTAGTGTCCAACGATTCAAAAGAGGACCTGAACTTTATTTATTGTTTAACTACGGTAATTAAACCCTAAAATCTTGTGCGACTGACTTCTACATTGCGATCCGATGACAGAAGTCTTATCCCTTATCCTTACCCGATAAGGTGCGGTATTACCGTAAGTACGTGGTACCAAGACTGTACCACTCAGATCCACCAGTCTTGACTTGGTGTGGACACACCACATAACCAATTCGATAACCGCGTGTAACCCCGTTACACCCTTCCCCACCAAACCTTCGACACCCTTTTGTCGGCAATTCCTCTACTAATCTTTGAGGCCTTAAAGCTCTGGTCCTGATTATTGTGTTCACAACACATCTCGAAATGACTAGGTCAAAGCATTCGTCCAACACCCTTAAAAAATTCCTCGAAGAGGGTTTGGTGGACTATGAGAGTGATGCCGCCGCGTCGAGCTTCTACGATCACCCTCTATCTACGCCACTGGCGCGTGACACCTCGCGCGTCGCGCCTAATCCATTCGTGGAGCACGAAAAGGTACCTTCACCCCTTGCGCAGCGTGCAGCCGTCGACCCTGTGTTGGGTGTGTTGCACAACACACTTGATGAAGATCAATCTCATTATCTGTAGTCGGTCGATGACCGCAGGCGTCAAGTACAATGTGCATCCACAGCGTGTGCTTACAGTGATAGCCGCTTCACGTCACCGAGTGTGGATAAACGCATTCGCCAGACTGCCGGGCAGTCACTCGCAACATGGATCACGGGACCCGAGGCTGTCACATCCATAGCACTAGCGGAGAGGGAAGCTCTCAGCGTGAGATGCTTAAGGGTTGAGCGTATGACCGTTCAAGATTACCTCGACAGGCTGAATTAGCAAATAAGAAGTGCTTCAGTGTCCGCCTTGCGGACAATACCCGTCGTTCTCTTCCATGGCGATACGGAGGTGGATGATAATGTCGTATTCACGCGTTGGGTTCACCGAGCTCCTCGTCTACCAAGTTTGTGGAATCTCAGAAGAGCGCTTCGCTTACTGACGTTCATCTCAAACGTAAGATGCGCTTTGATTTTGCAAAATAAAAGGCCAATGGCTAAATGAGATCTTTCTTTCGAACCCGCTATGCCTCGGCAGATACGGACCCGCACATCAGTGCACCTGCTGCAGCTGCAGCCTCCTCCACTCCCGCACTGAATAGAGGGAAGAGGTACGGATTGAGTGACCCTGAAGACGATGATCAAACACGTCAACGGCGTACGGACAATCCTGCCGCAGTGGCATTTCGTACTCCTATGAGTTCTCCAACTCTGGGTGCCCCTGCTACTGAACTAAGAATTGGTACTGACCGTCGCGACGACGTCGATGTAGAATTCTTTTAACATAGTATTGTCAATCCTCTTGCTCGTCAATGAGAGCATGCGGTGTTCGGAATGAATCTTGACCCGTAGTCGACAAGTTAGTGCACGAGGTGCACGGTATGCGTGACCAAGTGGCGCGTGTTAAAGGACAACTGGATCTTTTCTTACGGGTACCTCGACTTGTGAAATCGCCAACTCTTTCAGCGCCAGCGCCACGTGATCCACCAGCGACGGATCAAGGTAAGGCTTAATCAAGCCGACGTAAAACACTGGGTGTGTTCGCATCTTCCGTGGGAGGTTGAGCGTGTACGCTAGACTCTTTTTAGCCACAATCGCAGATTGCTCAATAAAGCGAAGACGCAACTTAATCCCGCAGACCTCTGACACCTCCTTGACAGGTAGATTATTAGCGTTACGTAAGACTAGGTTATCAACCTCATAACTCTCAACAAACTTTTTGCCTTTGGCATCAGCTTGTTCCTTTTGTTTGTACTAGCTATCAGCCGTTGCGTCATCCGCATTTCGTAAGACATTTAATCGCGCAGTGAGAAACTTTCTCACCTCTTTATAAACAGTGTTAGGGCTGACATCAGTAGGACGATCGTCTATCTCTCCCCCACTAATCCATTAACAA